AATAATTACAATAAGTATTAACACTGGAATGCTAGATGTGCAAGAGATTATGTGCAAATAGAGATACTGGGGTGCAAAAGAGCAAAATAAATAACAATATAGGGATGAGGTAGTTGGGTGGGCTAATTTCAGATGGGCTGTGTACAGTTGCAGTGATCGGTAAGGTGCTCTGACAACTGATGCTTAAAGTTAGTGAGGGAGATAAGAGTCTCCAGCTTCAGAGATTTTTGCAATTCGTTCCAGTCATTGGCAGCAGAGAACTGGAAGGACTGGCGGCCAAAGGAGGTGTTGGCTTTGGGAATGACCAGTGAGATATACCTGCTGGAGCGCAGACTACGGGTGGGTGCTGCTATGGTGACCAATGAGCTAAGATAAGGCGAGGATTTGCCTAGCAGTGATTTATAGATGGCCTGGAGCCAGTGGGATGGGGAGAGAGAGCACTATAATATAATAATTCACAGCTCTTAAGGCACACTGGGACTATTTGCATACATATATACTGGGTTTGATGAGACTGCAGAGACGTTACATAGAGCCAGTGGAATGTGCAGCATGTCTGAGCCAGGGTGTGTGTGTGTGTTTAAGTGTGACAAGGCTTGGCCCACCTGCACTGAGTTGGCCTTTAACCCTAACAAGTCATAATAAGGCAGTTGGATGGCAACGTTACAATGGCTATTGAAACAGGGAACTGTCCAAAACACTCCATGTACTGACTGGAGGACGGAATAAAAACAGGAATGAAAAGTGGTTTGAAATGGAGGGAATGGAGGTTAGGGACAGAGAGGTGAGAGGTCAGATGGAATAAGCACAACAGAAATGTAACCTTACAGCCGGCCAACCGGAAAACCCCAAAATACATTTAGAAAAGATATCACACCGAGATAGTAATCCTAGGTGTAAAATAGTAAATAATGGCTATTTCTCAGAAAGTTTTAAACTGTCAAGAGGAGTGAAACAAGGTTGTCCACTATCGGCATATCTATTTATTATGGCCATCGAGATGTTAGCTATTAAAATCAGATCCAACAATAATATCAAGGGATTAAAAATCCAGGGTTTAAAAACAAAGGTGTCATTGTACGCTGATGATTCATGTTTTCTTTTAAATCCACAACTTGAATCCCTCCACAGCCTCATAGAGGATCTAGGTACATTTTCTAACCTCTCTGGATTTCAACCAAATTATGATAAATGTACTATATTACGTATTGGATCACTAAAAAATATAATTTTTACATTGCCATGTAGTTTACCAATAAAATGGTCTGATGGTGATGTGGATATACTCGGAATACATATCCCAAATGAAATAAATAATCTCACTCCAATACATTTTTATAGAAAGTTAGCAAAAATAGATAAGATCTTGCTACCATAGAAACGTAAATATCTGTCAATTTGTGGAAAAATCACCCTGATTAACTATTTAGTATTATCCCAGTTTACCTATTTGCTTATGGTCTTGCCTACGCCTAGCAAACAGTTTTTTAAATTATATGAGAAAAAAATATTCCATTTTATTTGGAACGGCAAGCCAGACAAAATTAAACGGGCCTATTTTTATAATGAATATGAATTTGGAGGACAGAAATTATTAAATATTAAAGCATTAGACCTATCATTATAAAGCTTCAGTCATACAAAAGTTATACTTAAATCCGAACTGGTTCTCTAGCAAATTAGTAAGATTGTCTCACCCAATGTTCAAGAATGGCCTTTTCCCCTTTATTCAGATTACAACCTCTCACTTTAAGTTATTTGAAAAGGAAATAATCTCCCAAATATCACTATTTCTAAAACAAGCCATTGAAAGTTGGTTGCAATTTCAATTTAATCCTCCAGAAACGACAGAACAAATAATGCAACAAATATTGTGGTTAAACTCAAATATACTAATTGATAAAAAACCGTAATTTTTTGACATTTCTGTTTTTTTTTAAGGTATAATCTTCGTAACTTACATCATCGGTAGGACTGGTGGAGTTATGTCGCACATGCAGCTAACAAAAACATGTCTGCTCTACCCAAAATTACAACCAAATAATTGCAGCATTACCGCAAAAATGGAAGAGGAAAGTGGGGGAAAAAGTAAGGAACTTGTCTGTCAGCCTTGCATTAAAGAACATAATTGGTTAAAGAAAACTGTGAGAAATAAAACAAAGTTTAATTTAAGGACCAAAGGATTGACAGCCGTCCCATATAGATTGCAAAATAGTTGGGAAGAGATTTTTGATGTACCGATCCCATGGCATAGTGTTTATGGTAGTGTATACGCAATTATTATATATAATTCTTGCTATCAATAGAATGTTATTTATGTGTATGTGTATATATGTATGTATGTATGTATGTATGTATGTATGTGTATATATATATATATACAGTGGGGAGAACAAGTATTTGATACACTGCCGATTTTGCAGGTTTTCCTACTTACAAAGCATGTAGAGGTCTGTAATTTTTATCATAGGTACACTTCAACTGTGAGAGACGGAATCTAAAACAAAAATCCAGAAAATCACATTGTATGATTTTTAAGTAATTAATTTGCATTTTATTGCATGACATAAGTATTTGATACATCAGAAAAGCAGAACTTAATATTTGGTACAGAAACCTTTGTTTGCAATTACAGAGATCATACGTTTCCTGTAGGTCTTGACCAGGTTTGCACACACTGCAGCAGGGATTTTGGCCCACTCCTCTATACAGACCTTCTCCAGATCCTTCAGGTTTCGGGGCTGTCGCTGGGCAATACAGACTTTAAGCTCTCTCCAAAGATTTTCTATTGGGTTCAGGTCTGGAGACTGGCTAGGCCACTCCAGGACCTTGAGATGCTTCTTACGGAGCCACTCCTTTGTTTCCCTGGCTGTATGTTTTGGGTCGTTGTCATGCTGGAAGACCCAGCCACGACCCATCTTCAATGCTCTTACTGAGGGAAGGAGGTTGTTGGCCAAGATCTCGCGATACATGGCCCCATCCATCCTCCCCTCAATACGGTGCAGTCGTCCTGTCCCCTTTGCAGAAAAGCATCCCCAAAGAATGATGTTTCCACCTCCACGCTTCACAGTTGGGATGGTGTTCTTGGGGTTGTACTCATCCTTCTTCTTCCTCCAAACACGGCGAGTGGAGTTTAGACCAAAAAGCTATATTTTTGTCTCATCAGACCACATGACCTTCTCCCATTCCTCCTCTGGATCATCCAGATGGTCATTGGCAAACTTCAGACGGGCCTGGACATGCGCTGGCTTGAGCAGGGGGACCTTGCGTGCGCTGCAGGATTTTAATCCATGACGGCATAGTGTGTTACTAATGGTTTTCTTTGAGACTGTGGTCCCAGCTCTCTTCAGGTCATTGACCAGGTCCTCCCGTGTAGTTCTGGGCTGATCCCTCACCTTCCTCATGATCATTGATGCCCCACGAGGTGAGATCTTGCATGGAGCCCCAGACCGAGGGTGATTGACCGTCATCTTGAACTTCTTCCATTTTCTAATAATTGCGCCAACAGTTGTTGCCTTCTCACCAAGCTGCTTGCCTATTGTCCTGTAGCCCATCCCAGCCTTGTGCAGGTCTACAATTTTATCCCTGATGTCCTTACACAGCTCTCTGGTCTTGGCCATTGTGGAGAGGTTGGAGTCTGTTTGATTGAGTGTGTGGACAGGTGTCTTTTATACAGGTAACGAGTTCAAACAGGTGCAGTTAATACAGGTAATGAGTGGAGAACAGGAGGGCTTCTTAAAGAAAAACTAACAGGTCTGTGAGAGCCGGAATTCTTACTGGTTGGTAGGTGATCAAATACTTATGTCATGCAATAAAATGCAAATTAATTACTTAAAAATCATACAATGTGATTTTCTGGATTTTTGTTTTAGATTCCGTCTCTCACAGTTGAAGTGTACCTATGATAAAAATGACATACCTCTACATGCTTTGTAAGTAGGAAAACCTGCAAAATCGGCAGTGTATCAAATACTTGTTCTCCCCACTGTATATATATATATATATATATATATATATATATATATGCTAGGGAAAAAAACATATGGTGGAAATAAAAAATACAAAAATAAAAAGATATCACACCGAGATAATGTTGGGAGGAGGAAGGGGAGGCAAGGGATGACAATCAAAACCCCATGTAAACAAATAAAAACATTAAAAAACATGGGAGAGAAACAATAGAGAAAAATGTGATTAGAGGGTAAAAATGTGGGAAACTGCACTACTATATTTAGGAAGGAGAGAGCTCGGTATAATATAAAACAAAAAAATGAGTGTCTTTGAGTGTTGCTATGACACCCGTCAGTTCCACAGCCCCTGGTTATTTTGTGAGCAATGCATTGTGGGAGAGCTGATGATGACTGCTCCCTCAATTAATGCTGCAACCATGGTAACAGGTCAGCTTGACAGCGTGTAGAGAGACATTGCTACCTGTCTCTGGGTCATACAGTTTAATGTTACTAACAGTTGTGACCTCAAATGCACCTTATCATGTTGATTTACCATGGTGATTCATTCAACTTCAACATTAACATACAACCATTTATATAAAATCCTGCTCAAATATACTTTAAACTGGCCAAAGATTGTGAAATATTTATTCCTGAATCTTCAACATCCTGAAAACCTTGAATCCGGAGGTTTAAAATAGACAACACTACACATAACAGCCCACTGCGTGAGAACACTGAACCCTGTTCATATTGTATCAACAAGACGTGAGTCATGCAGCAGAACACATTGCTTGAGTGACTGCAACATTACAGTCTACAGCTAAATCTGGATCTTAGCTGCAAGGGTCAGCCAGTGAAATAATGTACTGGTTCATAGCAGGAGAACGGTGTAAGAGGAACCAAAAACCGTGCATAGCAATAGCATAGCACTTAGAATGCATCTACAATACATTGCTTCATTATAAGTGGTATGCTAGTGGAGATATTGGAACAGAGAGGTGGGTGTCATGCAGGCATTCTTAGTATGGGACTGCATTCTCATCTCTACTAACCCAGTTTGAGCAGCCATCCTTCTCTGTCTGGGTTGAAGAACGTGTGAGTCAGGTCGTTCCCATCATCCTCTGGGATCTTAAAGGGTTCACTCTTAATGCTCTCATAGAGATTCTGGAGATGAGAGAGAGAGGGATGAGGAGGGAGTGGTGGGGAGAGAGAGAAGGGGAGAGGGGAAAAGCATTGGGAAAGAGGGGGGGAAGAGGGGGATAGAGAGAGTGAGAGAGAGAGAGAGAGAGAGAGAGAGAGAGAGAGAGAGAGAGGAGAGAGTGAGAGAGAGAGAGAGAGAGAGAGAGAGAGAGGAGAGAGAGAGAGAGAGAGAGAGAGAGAGAGAGAGAGGAGAGAGGAGAGAGAGAGAGAGAGAGAGAGAGAGAGAGAGAGGGTAATGGTGATGGGGAAAAGGGGGTGGAAAGCAATAGTGTTCAGCTCATAACACTTGCAAATGAACATCCCCCTGCATCTTCTAACAGCCATCCCGGTCCATCACTAAATCAACAGTGCATAAAACATGACGGAACAAGATTCTATTAAGGAGTTCTTAGAAAAGAAAAGTGTCGGATGCTGTGCTCATTCGTTGGGTCTGAAACTGGATGCTAAACACTGGGACACATTTGACAATCTGAGTTACAACTTTGAGAACTGTTGGGAGAGAAAGGAACAACAAGCCAACTGCAAGAAGTGTTATGTGTGTGCCCTTTTGAACTGCGGTTGAGCTGAAGGCTGTGTGATTATCTCTCTGAGCTTGTTAGATGATATGTTCATCATTAGCATTACTGGCTTGAAAGAAGAGCACATTAGATGAGCTAGCATTTTGCTACAGTATCACCCTTGATAGAAGAGAGTAAAGCTTCTACATGACATAGTACACACACAAACACAGACACACACACAGTCATCAACCATACCCAACCCCCCACACACCAAACATTCACTCTCACCCTGAGTAGGTCCTCTGGTAGGTCTCCTCCCTCGTTGATGCCTCTGTTCATGGAGATGAATCTCTCTACGGGTGGCTTGTCTCTGACGTTGGGGTTGTGTAGGCTGGTGTTCAACATGATGACGGCAAAGGACAGGACATAACACGTGTCTGGGGAGGACAGCAGAGAGAGGAGGTGATAAGTGTGTGTGGGAGGAGGGGGTGGGAGGGAGGGATTGTGTGTGTGGGGGGGGGGGGGTCGGTGAGTGTGTGTGCTCACAAACACTTCCCCACCCATGCCGCTATTACTTTGCAGTCATTACTCTACCACCCACTATCCCCACCCCCGCCACACACACACCACCCCACTCTGTTCTATAACCCCTGGCCTTTTTAACCCGGTGTGTGTCAGAGCACCAGTCCCCAGAGGGACCCAGCAGAAGCAGCTATAACTAAGTCTGCGTGTGTCACCACTGCAACACATCCATATTCATGAGGCCAAGCCCACACATCATTCATCAACCCTCCACTGGTTACTGGGACAGGGGACACAACACTGCAGATATAACATTGAGCTGACATGGCATGTACCCTGTGGTACATGAGACACAATATCATATATGTTCTAGACAATACATTTCTATCTGAATGTTCTGTAACAGGCCTCTGGTTGTTTAAGGAGATGTAGGGGAGAGGGACAGAACATTGCAGATAGAAATTACACATATAGACCTGACATGATCCCCTATGGACAGACACAATTATATTTCTTCTACACAATATATTTATATCTGAAAATTCTGAGCAGGACCTTGGATAGAACGGGAAATTGACGATGGTAGGGGGCAGAGATGATGGTAGGGGACAGAGATGATGGTAGGGGACAGAGATGATGGTAGGGGACATTGATGATGGTAGGGGACAGAGATGATGGTAGGGGACATTGATGATGGTAGGGGACACTGATGATGGTAGGGGACAGAGATGATGGTAGGGGACATTGATGATGGTAGGGGACAGAGATGATGGTAGGGGACAGAGATGATGGTAGGGGACATTGATGATGGTAGGGGACAGAGATGATGGTAGGGGACATTGATGATGGTAGGGGACAGAGATGATGGTAGGGGACAGAAATGATGGTAGGGGACATTGATGATGGTAGGGGACATTGATGATGGTAGGGGACATTGATGATGGTAGGGGACAGAGATGATGGTAGGGGACAGAGATGATGGTAGGGGACAGAGATGATGGTAGGGGACACTGATGATGGTAGGGGACATTGATGATGGTAGGGGACAGAGATGATGGTAGGGGACATTGATGATGGTAGGGGACAGAGATGATGGTAGGGGACAGAGATGATGGTAGGGGACAGAGATGATGGTAGGGGACAGAGATGATGGTAGGGGACATTGATGATGGTAGGGGACAGAGATGATGGTAGGGGACATTGATGATGGTAGGGGACAGAGATGATGGTAGGGGACAGAGATGATGGTAGGGGACATTGATGATGGTAGGGGACATTGATGATGGTAGGGGACATTGATGATGGTAGGGGACAGAGATGATGGTAGGGGACAGAGATGATGGTAGGGGACAGAGATGATGGTAAGGGACAGAGATGATGGTAGGGGACAGAGATGATGGAGGGGACAGAGACAACGTATGGCCAGAGCATACCTCACTAGTCACTAATGACCCTCTGTTATTGACCAGTGATCAAAGTCATTATTAGAGGAGCCATGCCAGTAGTGATGACACAGCAACAATGAACCGCCGGTCTGTCAGCAACAATGGCCAGTGATGCATTAAGTCATGAGACAGAGAGTCAAGTGAGTATACGGTTTTTTTATTTTTTTATTAGTAATAGCAGCTTTTCCACAAAAATAAATGTAAATGTAGGGTTGGGTTGGGTATTGTAGAGGTTTTATAGAGCGACTCCATTCCATCTAAAGAGGTATAGCATGTAAAACATTTACTATACAACAAAGACTGGTTTTAGGACCAGAGAGTTCTGGAGTGGAGCTATAAAGTAGAGAGACAGGGAGACTGACACATTGATCTAAGGCAGGGGCGGTCTAGCGCTCCCCTTTACGACAGAGTACGACCAGTGTGTGTGTGTGTACCTGTGGATTGGAAGACACCGGGGTTGCAGGAGCAGTACCGCGAGGCGAAGGCCTCCATCATACGATCGATCTTCTGAGCCTCACCAGGCAGTCTGAAACTCCACAGAAACTGTCTACACCGGCAGAGAGAAAGAGCGAGAGAGAGTGAGAGAGAGAGTGAGAGAGAGAGTGAGGGAGAGAGAGAGAGAGGCAGAGCAAGGGAGAGAGAGAGAGGGAGAGTGAGGGAGAGACAGAGACAGAGACAGAAACAGAGATGTGAGGAGAGAAAGTGAGAGAGAGACAGAGAGGGAGAGAGAGAGCAAGAGAGCGTGCGAGACAGAGAGAACACAGGAAAACCAATGAGAAAGGCTCCAAAAGTGTCTTGAAAGCAGGACATCATCATAAAGCATATTGACTGCACATGATCAATAATAAATACTACTATATTATTTAAAACATGTGATTGAACTGCTGGGAATCTTGGTACAGTAATATGCAGAGACAGCTCACCGTAAAGCCTGTACGAGGTTGAGATCTGCAAATTCATGAAGGTCTACGAACGCCTGCAAGACCTTGAGGTTGAAGTCGTCCCTGGCAGAGATGAGGAACGTACAGTATGTCAGGTTCTCAGATTCAGGTCAGGAAATGTCTGGTATTCAGTGTTAGTCAAGATCAGTCTAGCACTGCCAAAATGGAACTATAAGCAACGTTTATTTCAATCCCTCTAGTAACTGAAAGGTCTGTTAGGGGAGAGGCCCTTTTTAAACCCACCTCCACCCCCTCTCTAGATTATGACTATCAAACCATTATACAATAGGACAACACTGTGGGTAGTAATAAATTGCTATTTGTTTGTGTTACAAAAATCGCATACAACCAACTTGTTAACATACAATATGTTGCTGTGTTCAGAGGACTTTTCTATCCCAGCCACAGAGCCAGACTGCTCTGCTCTGTCTGTTGCTACACAGGTTGTTTTGACAGTCACATCCCTGCGAGGTGTCCCACATGTCGGAGATAAGAAACAAATGTAGCCAGGCAGTTTTACTGGCATGGCCCCCTGTCTACTATCGCCGCGGTGCTCCGTAAATCCAGACAATCCATTTCCTGAGGCTTTATGCCCGGGCTTATACACGCACAAGGGAGAAATCTCACTGAGAGATGGACAGAGTGTAGGAAAGAGAGAGGTTAGTGGGAGATGGGTGAAGGGAGCAAGGAGATGGGGAATGAGGGAGAAAGAGAGGTAGGGGGCGAAAGATGGAGAGAGCGAGAGGAGGGAGAGAGACGAGACGTGAGAGAGGAGGAAGATGGAGAGGGAGGAGTGGAGTGAGAGAGCGAGAGGAGAGAGAGAGAGAGAGGAGACGATGAGGAGAGAGAGAGAGAAGAGAGAGAGAGAGGAGAGAGAAGATGAGAGGAGAGAGAGAGAGCGAGATGAAACACAGAGGAGGTTTAGAGCAGTGTGTTACCTCTCTCTAAGTAGTCCCCTAGGACAGTTTTGTTGAGGCCCTCTCCTTTGTAGAGGAACTGGGATACTCCTCAGGAGTGTGTGAAGAAGGTCGTTCTCCAACCCCAGAAACTGGATCCCCTGGAAGACACACACAGTTTGGTTAGCACTCCAAGCTACACCTACACACACACACACACACACACACACACACACACACACACACACACACACACACACACACACACACGGTTATCTGTATTGACCTGAAGAAGAGCTAGGAGGCGTTACTATAAGTAATTTATACAGATAACACAACACAACCAGATAACATATTCGATGGGATGGCCATGGCTTATAGTTTAACCTTTTCTACATTGTTAAAGGAGGCATAACAGGTACACATCTAAGTTAATATCTATTTTTATAGGTATCATAAAACATTCAATAAATAAGTCAATAACACCAGATTAACGTCAGTGCAAGTAGGGCTCATGAGTGGCGCAGTGGTCTAAGGCACTGCATCTCAGTGCTTGAGGCGTCGCTACAGACCCCCTGGTTCGATTCCAGGCTGTATCACAACCGGCCGTGATTGGGAGTCCCATAGGGCAGCGCACAATTGGCCCAGCGTCATCCGGGTTTGGCCGGTGTAGGCCGTCATTGTAAATAAGAAGTTGCCTAGTTAAATAAAGGTAAAAAATGTATTTAGCATGGACTTTAGACAAACCTTTTTGGGGTCCATGTTGAACTTCTTCCTTCCCATGGCGATCTGTTTATTTCTTTGGGTTGTTTTACTGTGATTGGACAGAGCAGAGAGATCCATCAGTTCTCTAGAACAGGTGTGGCATTATCAACAACTGACGCCTGTATTTGTTCACCAAGTCAACTGTCAGGTTTGTGTATTTTCTACAGTATTTGTGGTGGTGAGTTTACATTGTTAGTTTACATAGGGGTGGGTTCAGGAGAAATTCAGGTGGATTCAGTTATTATTGTTCTGAGTCAGCTATGAATATGAGAATGTATAAATCCTCTTAAAACAATTATCTTTGACTTATCTTTCCATTTGGATTGCAGTTTGTTGCACCTACTTACTGAAAAAATAATGAAAACCTTATGCCTCTTTCTTTGTGTGTGTGTTGTGTGTTTGCATTATTGCATGTGTGTATACTGTGTACTCCCTGTGTTCCCAAAATAGCTTGACCCATTCCCCAGCTGCACCTGAGACACACAAAGGCTAAATCCACACTAACACACGTTCTCTCCACCTCTTCACCAATGAGCCCTGAACAGCCAATCAGTTATCAGTCCCTGAATAGGAGCGTTTGTGGGGCGTTTAGCAAATGTTTTCGCCGAGGGGACGGCTCAGCTCCACAAACAAAGATGGATTATTAACACACACTGGGACAGGTGTGTGGCTGGATGAATTTGAGAGGAGAGGAGACGAGCTAGAAGAGGAGAGGGGTGTTGATGAGGGGGGTGGGGTGTTACTCACCTCTCCCCCACGCAGGTTAGCTGCTCGATCTCAGTCATCACCTCCGCAATCTCAAACTTCAACCGCTGCCAAGAGGATTAGAGGGAGAATTAGCTGGGTTGAATTCACCACTGAACTATAGTTGTTTTAGCAGTGCATTATAAATCAACTTAAACAGACTCAATGTAAGTCGTTGGAGTCAAAGTAACATTTTAACCACCCACATAATGTCATATCATATCAAGTGATATCTTTATAAAAATATAAAATCTTTATATTTATTTTCATTTTCTTGACTCACCTCAATGTCATCCAGTAGCTCTTTTTTCCTGCGTCGTATGTTTGACAGCTCATCTCTCTCTTCCAAGGAGAGGTCTTCAGGTACTGTGAGAAAGAAAGAGAGAGAGAGAGAGAGAGAGAGAGAGAGAGAGAGAGAGAGAGAGAGAGAGAGAGAGAGAGAGAGAGAGAGAGAGAGAGAGAGAGAGAGAGAGAGAGAATATATATGTAGAGATATGTAAGTATGGGATTACGATACAATCACTTACACACATAGTCACTAGTCAGACAATCCCATGGATTAAGAAGTGATAGCTAGTGTGATGTAAATCAACACACAAGGCTGACAAAACCACAGATCTAGGATCAAATTAGTGTAACCCCAATCCTAAACCTAACCATTAGGCGGATGGAAAATAATCTGACCCTGGATCTGTGGTAAGGGACAAGTTCCAGTTCCACCTACTCCTAAATCATCACATAATTCTCTGCCTTCTCTAGCAGTATACTGGAATGAAACTTCTGAGAGCTCTTGACTTCCTCTCTGGCAAAAGGAAAACTCCTCCATAAATTACAACCAAACCGCCAGGACCTTGGACCCCCCGCCACCCACTTTTGCCCATAGAACAGCCTCAATTCATCGGGGCATGGACTCTACAAGGTGTTGAAAGCGTTCCACAAGGATGCTGGCCGCTGTTGATTCCAATACTTCCCACAGTTACAGTGAGGGAAAAAAGTATTTGATCCCCTGCTGATTTTGTACGTTTGCCCACTGACAAAGAAATGATCAGTCTATAATTTTAATGGTAGGTTTATTGGAACAGTGAGAGACAGAATAACAACAAAAAAATCCAGAAAAACGCATGTAAAAAATGTTCTAAATTGATTTACATTTTAATGAGGGAAATAAGTATTTGACCCCCTCTCAATGAGAACGATTTCTGGCTCCCAGGTGTCTTTTATACAGGTAACGAGCTGAGATTAGGAGCACACTCTTAAAGGGAGTGCTCCTAATCTCAGTTTGTTACCTGTATAAAAGACACCTGTCCACAGAAGCAATCAATCAATCAGATTTCAATCTCTCCACCATGACCAAGACCAAAGAGCTCTCCAAGGATGTCAGGGACAAGATTGTAGACCTACACAAGGCTGGAATGGGCTACAAGACCATCGCCAAGCAGCTTGGTGAGAAGGTGACAACAGTTGGTGCGATTATTCGCAAATGGAAGAAACACAAAATAACTGTCAATCTCCTTCAGCCTGGGGCTCCATGCAAGATCTCACCTCGTGGAGTTGCAATGATCATGAGAACGGTGAGGAATCAGCCCAGAACTACACGGGATGATCTTGTCAATGATCTCAAGGCAGCTGGGACCATAGTCACCAAGAAAACTATTGGTAACACACTACGCCGTGAAGGACTGAAATCCTACAGCGCCCGCAAGGTCCCCCAGCTCAAGAAAGCACATATACATGCCCGTCTGAAGTTTGCCAATTAACATCTGAATGATTCAGAGGAGAACTGGGTGAAAGTGTTGTGGTCAGATGAGACCAAAATCGAGCTCTTTGGCATCAACTCAACTCACTGTGTTTGGAGGAGGAGGAATGCTGCCTATGACCCCAAGAACACCATCCCCACCGTCAAACATGGAGGTGGAAACATTATGCTTTGGGGGTGTTTTTCTGCTAAGGGGACAGGACAACTTCACCGCATCAAAGGGACGATGGACAGGGCCATATACCGGGTGAGAACCTCCTTCCCTCAGCCAGGGCATTGAAAATGGGTCGTGGATGGGTATTCCAGCATGACAGTGACCCAAAACACACGGCCAACACAACAAAGGAGTGGCTCAAGAAGAAGCACATTAAGGTCCTGGAGTGGCCTAGCCAGTCTCCAGACCAGACCTTAATCCCATAGAAAATCTGTGGAGGGAGCTGAATGTTCGAGTTGCCAAACATCAGCCTCGAAACCTTAATGACTTGGAGAAGATCTGCAAAGAGGAGTGGGACAAAATCCCTCCTGAGATGTGTGCAAACCTGGTGGCCAACTACAAGAAACATCTGACCTCTGGGTTTTGCCACCAAGTACTAAGTCATGTTTTGCAGAGGGGTCAAATAATTATTTCCCTCATTAAAATGCAAATCAATTAATAACATTTTTGACATGCGTTTTTCTGGATTTTTTTGTTGTTATTCTGTCTCTCACTGTTCAAATAAACCTACCATTAAAATTATAGACTGATCATTTCTTTGTCAGTGGGCAAACGTACAAAATCAGCAGGGGATCAAATACTTTTTTCCCTCACTGTATGTCAAGTTGGATGAATGTCCTTTGGGTGGTAGACCATTCTTGATACACACGGGAAACCCAGCAGCGTTGCAGTTCTTGACACACTCAAACCGGTGCGCCTGGCACCTACTACCGTACCCTGTTCAAAGGCACTGAAATATTTTGTCTTGCACATTCACCCTCTGAATGGCACACATACATAACCCATGTCTCATCCATCTTTAACATGTATTCTCCCCTTCATCTACACTGATTGAAGTGGATTTACAAAAAGGGGGTGCAACTCAATATTAGGAAGGTGTTCCTAATGATTTGTACACCCAGTGAAGCGAGAGGGGAGAAACAAAGAAATGGAGTAGATACAGAAAGAAGGGAGAAAAGAGAGAGTGTGACAAAGCGAGAGAGAGGAGATATATATTACAGACAGATAGAGAGAGAGATAGCAAGAGGGGGACAGAGAGAGATCAATAAAAAACAGACGATAGATACCACTACCACAAGACAGCCAAGCTCAGAGAGAGAGAGAGAGAGAAGAGTGATAGAAGAGAGAGAGAATATAGAAAGAGAAGAGAGAAAGAAGAGAGAGAGAGAAGATAGTGAGAGAGAAGAGAGAGAGAAGAGAGAGAAGAAGAGAGAGAGAATATAGAAAGAGAAGAGAGAAAGAAGAGAGAGAGAAGATAGAGAGAGAGAAGAGAGAGAGAAGAGAGAGAGAGAAAGAAGAGAGAGAGAAAAGAGAGAGAAGAGAGACAAAATAAAGAGAGTTCCAGTTCCACCTACTCCTAAATCAACACATAATTCTCTGCATTCTCTAGCAGTATACTGGAATTAAACTTTCTGAGAGCTCTTGACTTCCTCTCTGGCAAAAGGAAAACTCCTCCATAAATTACAACCAAACCGCCAGGCAAACACACACACACCAGCACTAAACATCTGCTAAATCGTGCATCGTCCAATATTAGTTCTCAGATAGTCTGCTTCCTCATTTGAGGTAATTAGTACCACAGAGATACCTGGGCCACATGCAAACCCCCTTCACACACACACACATACACACACACACACACACACACAGGTATCATATAACATATGTGTTTGACTGTACTGTATGTGAACTGAGCACCCAGTGGTAAATCATACAGAGACACTCTGACATTTACACATGTATTGTATTCAATAAGGAGGCTCCCCAGTCCATCCTACTTATCCCTCCGTTTACCAGCAGCATGTACATCAACCTTTCTCCCCAGACCTCTCTCTGAGGACGGCCTCCACTACCTCCTCCTCCTTTCACACATCGCCGCTCTTACAAATGAGCCGCCGACTACCTGTTTGAAAAGCAGGCAGAGAGGCAGGCATGCTCAGGCTCACAGGATGTAGGTCATTTTCACGTCCAGAGCCGTAGCAGATTGTGCTTTTCTAAGCCGCGCATTCGCCTCGCCAGCTCTCTCTCTCTATCCATCCTATGGCTTGGAGTGGAGGGGGGAGGAGAGTGGAGGGGGGAGGAGAGTGGAGGGGGAGGAGAGTGGAGGGGGAGGAGAGTGGAGGGGGGAGGAGAGTGGATGTCAAATCCTAGCTGATTCATAGAGATAAGCAGCTTTACCATTCAGATTTTTCCCCTCTTTTCTCTTTCTCTTCTCTCCTTCCATTGTCAACAGATATTAACTTGTCTTGTTTTCTCTCTCTGTAAAGACAAAGTGACAGAGATACCATAGACCATTAAGTCAGGATGGGATGGTGTCGACTCTCGGTGGCTTCTTATCACGGACGAGCAGCCAATCAGAGCCAAACGCAGATGGGTGACAGAGGAAGAGGATCTCATAAGTGTGTGATCATTTCCTCTCACGGCCGAGTGGACCCACTCAAAGTCTCTGACTGACTTCTACAGTGAAACAGAGTGGAGGGAAGCACACTGAGTGTACAAAACATTAGGAACACCTTCCTAATATTGAGTTGCACCCCCTTTTGCCCTCAGAACAGCCTCAATTCATCGGGGCATGGACTCTACAAGGTGTTCAAAGCATTCCACAAGGATGCTGGCCGCTGTTGATTCCAATACTTCCCACAGTTATGTCAAGTTGGATGAATGGGAAACCCAGCAGCGTTGCAGTTCTTGACACACTCAAACCGGTGCGCCTGGCACCTACTACCGTACCCTGTTCAAAGGCACTGAAATCTTTTGTCTTGCGCATTCACCCTCTCAATGGCACACATACACAACCCATGTCTCATCCATCTTTAACATGTCTTCTCCCCTTCATCTACACTGATTGAAGTGGATTTACAAAAAGGGGGTGCAACTCAATATTAGGAAGGTGTTCCTAATGATTTGTACACTCAGTGAAGCGAGAGGGGAGAAACAAAGAAATGGAGTAGATACAGAGAGAAGGGAGAAAAGAGAGAGTGTGACAAAGCGAGAGAGAGGAGATATATATTACAGACAGATAGAGAGAGAGATAGCAAGAGGGGGACAGAGAGAGATAAATAAAAAACAGACGATAGATACCACTACCACAAGACAGCCAAGCTCAGAGAGAGAGAGAGAGAGAAGAGTGATAGAAGGGAGAGAGAATATAGAAAGAGAAGAGAGAAAGAAGAGAGAGAAGATAGTGAGAGAAGAGAGAGAGAAGAGAAAGAAAGGAGAGAGAAGATAGAGAGGAGAGAGCGAGAGGAGAGAAGATAAAAGAAGAGAAGAGAGAGAGAGCGTTCTCTTCTCAGTGTTACTCTGGCTCTGTAACCAGGCCCATAAAGCCAGTATTTGTAGAGCAGATCGCCCCCCCCAGGCAACCTATGTCTCTAATGCGCAAAGCAGAGCGCCATCCCACCTACTTTCCCTCAAAAAACCCACTCACCCAAAAGAAAGGGACAAATTGTCTGGGATTGATGGCTGCTGTGTTCAGTGACAATCCCCCTGCTGTGTGTATGCATGTGGAAACGCTGGGTAATCTGATATCATCATTGTGGATGAACTGCTACTTTAGGCTATACACCGTCAGCCTGGGTATCTAATGCATTATACATGAACGATATGTGTGTGTGTGTGTGTGTTTGTGCTTGTGTGCATCCCTCTCTTCCACCTCCCGTCTGACTACCTTCCTCCTCTCCTCTCCTCTCTACCATGACCAGCCACCTCAATGTGACCTCCAAGGGTCAACGAGGGCACAGAGATGAGAGGTCAGACACCCCTGTCTAGCCAGGGTCAAACTGCTACTGCTACTGAACGGTCACTTAAGGAACTCACTGTTGCAGTGTAATCAATTATATTATTTGTCCAAAGTTTCACCGTTTTATCAAGTCTTTCTAATCATCTGTAGATGTCACGATCGTTGAGGGACGGGTCAGACCAAGGTGCAGCGTGGTATGCGTACATATATATTAATGAAGATAAACACTTGACAAAACAACAAACGCAACGTAACGTGAAGGCCTATGGGCTATACTCACAACAAGCCTAACAGGAACACAAACAAGATCCCACAACTAAGGTAGGCAACCAGGCTACTTAAGTATGATCCCCAATCAGAGACAATGAGCGACAGCTGCCTCTGATTGGGAATCACACCCGGCCAAACATAGAAATACTAGATCCAACAAAGAAACTTATTAAAGAAAGATCAAGTGTAATATATTATAAAAATAAAGCAAACTGGATGGAATATGGGGAAAAATGCACAAAATTATTTTTTAATCTTCAACATAGGAATGCTACCAAAAATAATTTAATGAAATTGGTTACATTTACATTTACATTTTACATTTTTAGATGTTACAATTGACGGAGTCACCCATGATTCACCAAATGATATTTTGAAGGAGGAAACAAGGTACTTTAAGCATATGTTTTCTTTTCAGTCGCCTCCATCTCCTCTAACTGAAGCTAATTGTAGAGATTTTTTTTCTATTGATAATGTAAAATTAACAGCCATACAGAAAGACTCATGTGAAGGTGAAATTACAGAGGAACTTCTGGATGCAATTAAAGACTTTAAGTCCGGGAAAACTCCAGGGTTGTATGGCATACCAGTCGAGGTACACCAAACCTTTTTTGATATACTAAGAGGACCGTTATTAGCATGTTTTAATCACTCCTATGTAAATGGTAGATTATCTGACACTCAAGAAGAAGGTCTGATCTCATTATTACTGAAACAGGATACAAGTGGAAAATATAAAGATCCAGTCCATTAAAAACATTGGAGGCCCCGTACACCCTTACACTTCAAAATCCTAGCAAAATGTATAGCGCATAGAATTAAAAAGGTATTGTCGGATATTATTCATTCTAATCAGACAGGTTTTTTACATGGAAGATACATTGGAGATAATATAAGGCAAGTATTGGAAACAATAGAACACTATGGAAAATATGGGAAACCAGGCCTGCTATTCATAGCAGACTTCGAAAAGGCATTTGATAAAGTACGACTGGGGTTTATATATAAATGCCTGGAGCATTTCAATTTTGGAGAATCTCTTATAAAATGGGTCAAAATCATGTATAGTAACCCTAGGTGTAAAATAGTAAATAATGGCTATTTCTCAGAAAGTGTTAAACTGTCAAGAGGCGTGAAACTAGGTTGTCCACTATCGGCATTTCTATTGACATTTTAGTAATTTAGCAGACGCTCTTAGGGTTAAGTGCCTTGCTTAAGGGCACATCGACAGATTTTTCACCTAGTCGGCTCGGGGATTAGAACCAGAGACCTTTCGGTTACTGGCACAACGCTCTTACCCACTACGCTACTTATTGTGGCCATCGAGATGTTAGCTATTAAAATCAGATCCAACAATAATATCAGAGGATTAGAAATCCAGGGCTTAAAAACAAAGGTGTCATTGTACGCTGATGATTCATGTTTTCTTTTAAATCCACAACTAGAATCCCTCCACAGCCTCATAGAGGATCTAGATACATTTTCTAATCTCTCTGGATTTCAACCAAATTATGACAAATGTACTATATTACGTATTGGATCACTAAAAAATACAATTTTTACATTACCATGTAGTTTACCAATAAAATGGTCTGATGGTGATGTGGATATACTCAGAATACATATCCCAAAGGAAATAAATGATCTCACTTCAATAAATTTTAATTGAAAGATCTTGCTACCATGGAAAGGTAAATACCTGTCAATTTGTGGAAAAATCACCCTGATTAACTCTTTAGTATTATCCCAGTTTACCTATTTGCTTATGGTCTTGCCTACGCCTAGCGAACTGTTTTTTAAATTATATGAGAAAAAAATATTCAATTTTATTTGGAACGGCAAGCAAGACAGAATTTAAAGGGCCTATTTATTTAATTAATATGAATTCGGAGGACAGAAATTATTAAATATTAAAGCATTAGACCTATCACTAAAATCTTCAGTCATACAAAAGTTATACTTAAATCCGAACTGGTTCTCAGGCAAATTAGTAAGACTGTCTCACCCAATGTTCAAGAATGGCCTTTTTCCCTTTATTTAGATTACAACCGCTCATTTTCAGTTATTTGAAAAGGAAATAATCTCCCAAATATCACTATTTCTAAAACAAGCCATAGAAAGTTGGTTGCAATTTCAATTTAATCCTCCAGAAATGACAGAACAAATAATGCAACAAATATTGTGGTTAAATTCAAATATACTAATTGACAAAAAACCTTTATTTTTTGACAAAATGTTTAAAAAATGTATAATCTTCGTAAATGATATAATCGGTTGGACTGGTGGAGTTATGTCGCACATGCAGCTAACAACAACATATGGAAATGTCTGCTCTACCCAAAATTACAACCAAATAATTGCAGCCTTACCGCAAAAATGGAAGAGGAAAGTGGAAGGGGGAGAAAGTAAGGAACTTGTCTGTCGGCCTTGCATTAAAGAACATAATTGGTTAAGGAAAACTGTGATAAATAAAAAAGTATATCAGTTTCATTTAAGGACCAAAGGATTGACAGCCGTCCCATATAGATTGCAAAATAGTTGGGAAGAGATTTTTGACGTACCGATCCCATGGCATAGTGTTTATGAACTGACACGCAAAACGACACCGGATTCAAAAATTTGAATCTTTCAATTTAAATTATTATATAAAATTCTTGCTACCAATAGAATGTTATTTATATGGAAGATACAATCTTCCCAGCTCTGCAGATTTTGCTGTGAAGAGACAGAATCATTAGATCATTTGTTTTGGTTCTGTCCATTTGTAGCTTGTTTTTGGACACAGGTCCAGGAATGGCTAAAGGATTGCAATATTTACTTGGAGCTAAACTTGCAGATAGCATTACTGGGTGATCTGAAAAATCATAGTCAATCGATCAATAATACTTTTAGCAAAAATGTTTATTTTCAATTCACAATCTGTAGAAGCAATGAGAATAGAAAGGTTCAGAACTTTTGTAAAACATCACAGTACAGTTGAAATATATATGGCAAATAGAAATCCTATATGGATGGTGTTAAGAGATAGATGGGAGGTGTTGAATGGAGTTGAAGGATGGGACTAATAACAAATAACAACAAATAATAACAAGATAACTAATAATGTAAGCATACTGTGTCCATAATAAGTATATAGGTTGTATGTTGGGAGCTTTTGGGAAAGAGCACAGTTAGAAAGATATGGCATATAGAAGCAAACCGGATGGACATCATGAAAAATGATCGGAGAGGTTGAGAGTAGAAGAAGTTCAGGAGCAAAAACAAATAAAATAGAATTATTGTAAAATTGACTGTGTCCATAAAATGTAGATAGTAAGTATAAGCTGGAAGTAGAGGCCTAAGCATTGTTGTTCACTAATTTACCCCAAGTAGGGAAAGGATGGCGGGGTTGAAAAGTAATAAAGGGGAGTATACAGTGAGGGGAAAAAGTATTTGATCCCCTGCTGATTTTGTACGTTTGCCCACTGACAAAGACATAATCAGTCTATAATTTTAATGGTAGGTTTATTTGAACAGTGAGAGACAGAATAACAACAAAAAAATCCAGAAAAAAGCATGTCAAAAATGTTAAAAATTGATTTGCATTTTAATGAGGGAAATAAGTATTTGACCCCTCTGCAAAACATGACTTAGTACTTGGTGGCAAAACCCTTGTTGGCAATCACAGAGGGCAGACGTTTCTTGTAGTTGGCCACCAGGTTTGCACACATCTCAGGAGGGATTTTGTTCCACTCCTCTTTGCAGATGTTCTCCAAGTCATTAAGGTTTCGAGGCTGATGTTTGTCAACTCGAACCTTCAGCTCCCTCCACAGATTTTTCGTACATTGCCCCGTCCATCGTCCCTTTGATGCGGTGAAGTTGTCCTGTCCCCTTAGCAGAAAAACACCCCCAAAGCATAATGTTTCCACCTCCATGTTTGACGGTGGGGATGGTGTTCTTGGGGTCATAGGCAGCATTCCTCCTCCTCCAAACACGGCGAGTTGAGTTGATGCCAAAGAGCTCGATTTTAGTCTCATCTGACCACAACACTTTCACCCAGTTATCCTCTGAATCATTCAGATGTTCATTGGCAAACTTCAGACGGGCCTGTATATGTGCTTTCTTGAGCAGGGGGACCTTGCGGGCGCTGTAGGATTTCAGTCCTTCACGGCGTAGTGTGTTACCAATTGTTTTCTTGGTGACTATTGTCCCAGCTGCCTTGAGATCATTGACAAGATCTTCCTGTGTAGTTCTGGGCTGATTCCTCACCGTTCTCATGATCATTGCAACTCCACGAGGTGAGATCTTGCATGGAGCTCCAGGTCGAGGGAGATTGACAGTTATTTTGTGTTTCTTCCATTTGGGAATAATCGCACCATCTGTTGTCACCTTCTCACCAAGCTGCTTGGCGATGGTCTTGTAGCCCATTCCAGCCTTGTGTAGGTCTACAATCTTGTCCCTGACATCCTTGGAGAGCTCTTTGGTCTTGGCCATGGTGGACAGTTTGGAATCTGATTGATTGATTGCTTCTGTGGACAGGTGTCTTTTATACAGGTAACAAGCTGAGATTGGGAGCACTCCCTTTATGTGTGCTCCTAATCTCAGCTCGTTACCTGTATAAAAGACACCTGGGAGCCAGAAATCTTTCTGATTGAGAGGGGGTCAAATACTTATTTCCCTTATTAAAATGCAAATCAATTTATAACATTTTTGACATGCCTTTTTCTGGATTTGTTTTGTTGTTATTCTGTCTCTCACTGTTCAAATAAACCTACCATTAAAATTATAGACTGCAAACGTACAAAATCAGCAGGGGATCAAATACTTTTTTTCCCTCACTGTATATATAAAAAAACATGGGGGATTGGAAGTGATGCAGACAATTACATTGATGGAAGTTACAATCTATCTGCAATATTAAGCTGATCTACCCCCAAGAAAAAAAAAATAATAAGAAGAAAAAAAAATACTAGATCCAACATAGAAATACAATAACATAGATCTCAAACTAAACTCACAACCTGACCCAACCAACAAGAGTTCTCTAGGTCAGGGCGTGACAGTAGAGGAGATCTGAGCCCTTCTTAACAAAGTGTCTCGCAGTAGTGCTGATCTAGGATCAGGTCCTTCCTGTCCATATAATCTTATTCATTATAATCTAAACGGGATAACTGATTCTAGACCAGCAGTGCTACTCTGATCCTAGATCAGCACTGCTACTTGCCTGGTTCTGATGGGCACCATGATATTAAGATCTTATGACTTATTCAGTTTGACATTTTAGTTATTTAGCAGACGCTCTTATCCAGAGCAACTCACAGTTAATGTATTCATCTTAAGGAATGCTAGGTGAGACAACCACATCACAGTCATGGTAAGTACACGTTTTATGTTCTTATGACTACATTATCATCCTGTCTCCTCCACCTCCTCAGTCAGACCTCTCTCTGCCCTGGCGATCAGTCACAGTCAGAGGTCTTGAATCAGGAAGACAGGGAGACAACATGCAAATTCTCCACGCCAATGATAAACCGATGTCATTCATCTCCTGATCCATGTGATGCTGTGACGAACTCTAGCCCTGATAGAATCAGTACAACCGTTGGAGTTGGACTTGTTGATCCCCTTTGTCGGATCAAGTTGGAAAATCTCTCTGGAGAAGTTTCAGACACAGTGGCGCTGGGCTAGCCTTGTCCCAGATCTGTTTGTGCTATCTTGCCATGCTAACATTTGGCTGGCTTGGCTTTGAAACTGCTCTGTTATGCTGACCATGCTTACCCCAGCCTGGATGTGCGTGCCTAGTCTTGTGACTGCTAGCTAGGCTAGCTAAGGCAACTTAAGGACCTTTGCATAATGCATAGCTGTCTCTGGCTGCCGGTATAAGATTGCAAGTATAGTGCAGATAGATAACATACTCTAGAGATTCTAGAACACCCTGGCCTGTATTTCACTGTGTTTCAGAGTAAGAGGGCTGATCAAGGATCAGATCCCCCTATCCATAAAAAATAGTATTCATTATGATCTAAAAGAGAAAACTGATCCTAGATGTTCTTCGGCTCGCAAGCGTCCCCCTTTTTCCTCCAAACATAACGATGGTCATTATGGCCAAACAGTTCTATTTTTGTTTCATCCGACCAGAGGACATTTCTCTAAAAAGTACGATCTTTGTCCCCATGTGCAGTTGCAAACCGTAGTCTAGCTTTTTTATGGCGGTTTTGGAGCAGTGGCTTCTTCCTTGCTGAGCGGCCTTTCAGGTTATGTTGATATAGGACTCGTTTTACTGTGGATATAGATACTTTTGTACCTGTTTCCTCCAGTATCTTCACAAGGTCCTTTGCTGTTGTTCTGGGATTGATTTGCACCAAAGTACGTTCATCTCTAGGAGACAGAACGCATCTCCTTCCTAAGCGGTATGACGGCTGCGTGGTCCCATGGTGTTTATACTTGCGTACTATTGTTTGTACAGATGAACGTGGTACCTTCAGGCGTTTGGAAATTACTCCCAAGGATGAACCAGACTTGTGGAGGTCTACAATTCTTTTTCTGAGGTCTTGGCTGATTTCTTTTGATTTTCCCATGATGTAAAGCAAAGAGGCACTGCGTTTGAAGGTAGGCCTTGAAATACATCCACAGGTACACCTTCAAATGACTCAAATGATGTCAATTAGCCTATCAGAAGCTTCTAAAGCCATGACATCATTTTCGGGAATTTTCAAAGCTGTTTAAAGGCACAGTCAATTTAGTGTATGTAATCTTCTGACCCACTGCAACGGTGATACAGTGAAATAATCTGTCTGTAAACAATTGTTGGAAAAATTACTTGTGTCATGCACAAAGTAGATGTCCTAACCGACTTGCCAAAATTATAGTTTATTAACAAGAAATTTGTGGAGTGGTTGAAAAACGAGTTTTAATGACTCCAACCTAAGTGTATGTAAACTCCCGACATCAACTGTAGCTATGTCAATAGGCCACTATTGTCCTTTCAAGCAAGGTCATCTAGTGCCTACTGTGACAGCAAGGCAAGGGAACAACTAATAAACAGAGCCAGCGGAGCCACTTCCTGATTTTCTCCAGGTCTGCACTGTGACAATGAAGCGAGGATGTCTGCACTGATTAGGCCCACTGACTCTGGTCCGCCGTAACAATAGTAACCACACAAACACAGGCTGGGTTAAACTAAGTTCCCATCATGGCTAGTTCAGGAACACTTATACAAGCGCACACCATAGTCTCCTCATTGTGTTACTATAATCACACACAAATATGTGCAACAACACAGCTGAGAATGTTGAATGATGTAAGTAGATTGAATAAGTGTGTCATGGAAGACAAAACCCAAAACACGTGTCTGAGTCACAGGGCGACCTGAACCGGACTGTGCTGGCTGGATACTTTCTTTTCACATTGAGCATAATTCCAGCAACTATGGTGGAAGCATAACCAGTCCAGGCCAGTACAGCTTAGTTTGGCTCGGCTCTGTACTGGGAATATGGTAATATAGCATTGTTACGACCTCACGCCTAGGACTCAGTCAAATACCACACAATCTGTCATCAAGTGTCCTGCAATATCACTCAACTGTTCACAAAATTAAAGCCATCTTTACCCAATTGCTCCTTCTCAGTGCCTGCTATGTTTTGTGTTCTCTAAGTTGAATCCATACCCCAGATCTGAGTCCAGCTCTGTCTCTGAGTTGAATACATACCCCAGATCTGAGTTTACCTCTGTCTCTGAGTTGAATCCATACCCCAGATCTGAATCCAGCTCTGTCTCTGAGTTGAATACATACCCCAAATCTGAGCCGACCTCTGTCTCTGAGTTGAATCCATACCCCAGATCTGAGTTTACCTCTGTCTCTGAGTTGAATACATACCCCAGATCTGAGTCCAGCTCTGTCTCTGAGTTGAATACATACTCCAGATCTGAGTCCAGCTCTGTCTCTGAGTTGAATCCATACCCCAGATCTGAGTCCACCTCTGTCTCTGAGTTGAATCCATACCCCAGATCTGAGTTTACCTCTGTCTCTGAGTTGAATTCATACCCCAGATCTGAGTCCAGCTCTGTCTCTGAGTTGAATACATACCCCAGATCTGAGTCCAGCTCTGTCTCTGAGTTGAATACATACTCCAGATCTGAGTCCAGCTCTGTCTCTGAGTTGAATCCATACCCCAGATCTGAGTCCACCTCTGTCTCTGAGTTGAATCCATACCCCAGATCTGAGTCCACCTCTGTCTCTGAGGGTCAGTAGTGGTCAGTAGGACTGCAGGACTGTGTTGTTGGCTGAAGATTTACAGCTACACTGCTCATTGCTTTTAGCTGGCTTGTTTCCTCTCTCAGGTACAGGTGTGGTGTGGTGTAATGTTTTCCCTCCTTTACACACACACAAGAATGCTTGCAGGCGCACACATGCACTCACGCACACACACACAGACTCAGACACACACTCACGAGTGCACTCAGGGACACACACATTTAAGCAAGCACACAGCGTGCATGCACACACACACACACAATGGCAGCTCCTTTGACAGCCACTCAGTCAGTAATTCCTGACAGATTACTGTAGCTATGTGGCACCACAACCTTCCAGTCTGGTCAGACTGGATCTCTCTCTCTCTTATCCTCACTTTCTTTCATTATCCCCCCCTTTCACCCTCTTTTCTTCCTTGTCTTCCTTCTCTTTCACTCTTTAGTTCTCTCACCTTTTCTCTCACTCTCTCCCTCTTCCTCTCCTCTCCTCTCCATCTCCTCTTCCTCTCCTCTCTTACTTTCTCTCCTCTCCCTCTTCCTCTCCTCTCCCTCTTTCTCTCCTCTCTCTCTCTTCCTCTCCTCTCCCTCTTTCTCTCCTCTCCCTCTTCCTCTCCCTCTCCTCTTCCTCTCCTCTCCCTCTTTCTCTCCTCTCCCTCTTCCTCTCCTCTTCCTCTCCTCTCTCTCTTTCTCTTCTCTCCCTCTTCCTCTCCTCTCCCTCTCCTATTCCTCTTCCTCTCCCTCTACTCTCCCTCTCCTCTTTCCTCTCCTCTCTCCCTCTCTCCTCTCTCTCCTCTCCCCTTCTCTCTTCTCTCTTTCTTCCTTCCTCTCCTCTTCCCTCTCCTCTTCCTCTTCCTCTCCCTCTCTCTCCTCCCTCTTCCCTCCTCTCCTCTCCTTCTCCCTCTCCCTCCTCTCTCTTCTCCTCTCCTCTCTCCCTCTTCCTCTCCTCTCTCTCTTTCTCTCTCTCCCTCTTCCTCTCCCTCTTTCTCTCCTCTCCCTCTTCCTCTCCTCTCCCTCTTTCTCTCCTCTCTCTTCCTCTCCTCTCCCTCTCCTCTTCCTCTTCCTCTCCCTCTTCAATCCCTCTCTCTCCTATTCCTCTCCTCTCCCTCTTCCTCTCCTCTTCCTCTCCTCTTCCTCTCCTCTCCCTCTTCCTCTCCCTCTCCCTCTCCCTCTCCTCTTCCTCCCTCTCCCTCTTCCTCTCTCTCCCTCTTTCTCTTCTCCCTCTCCATCCCTCTCCTCTTCTCTCCCTTCACCCTTCTCTCCCTCTCCTCTCCTCGTTCCTCTCCTCTCCGTCTCTTCCCTCTTCCTCTCCTCTCCCTCTTCCTCTCTCTCTTTCTCTCCTCTCCCTCTTCTCTCCCTCTCCTCTTCCTCTCCTCTCCCTCTTCCTCTCCTCTCCCTCTTCCTCTCCATCTCCCTCTCCTCTCCCTCTCCTCTTCCTCTCCTCTCCATATTCCTCTCCTCTCCATCTTTCTCCTGAAAAACTGTTCACTATAAGCCTATCTCATAAAAAACGTGTGAAACGTGAGCCATGTTCTTTCAGAGGGCTCCATTGGCTATTTATTACCCTCATCTCCTTGGTAATAGTCAGGAGGATGATGCGGTTTTGGTCTGGCTTTCAGATCAAATCCACCCGCCAGACCAGTCTAGAGAGTGCTGCAGCTTCTAGTGTATATCCCCTTTAAGAGTATTACAACTGTGATCAGACTACTGTAGCAGTAGCTCCTGTGTAGAGTCAGACTGAATGCTCTTCGGACCCGGCTAAAGCTGTCTGCTGCTTGCTTCAATTACCCTTTTCCAAAGTTCAATACACAGAACAGACTAGAGGGTTCTATGCTCAGAACCCAAATAGTTCTACAATTAGCACCCAGAGTTCAGACCCTGTAAATAATTCTGTCATCAGAACCCAAACGGTTCTGAAATTAGAACATAAGAGTTTAGACCATCAGACCCCTCTCCAGCAAGGTTCTGTGATCAACACCCAAACCCTTCTCAGGTTAGAACCCTCTCCCCATTGAAAATAGTTCTACACTCAGAACCCTCCCCTGCCAAGTGTTCTACAGTCATATGTAAAATGATGAAACCATGTGCTAACCTCAGCCACCGTCTCTCTCATTAGCACAACAGTCTCATGTCTCTGATATTGTTATTGGCTGCACTGATTTAACGCCGGTCATAAAGCACTCTGTCCTAGTAAGTCTTCTCCTGTTTAAACAAATGGCTGAGGGGAATTTCCATCACCATCACTGAGCGAATCATGCAGATGTATTTCAACAGCCTCTAGGATAAACCATTTGTTTATTCTCCTTG